AAGGAAGGAAGGAAGGAAGGAAAAATGGGAGGGAGGGAAGAAGGAAGGAAGGAAAAATGGGAGGGAGGAAGAAAGGATGGAGGGAAGGAAGGAAAATGGGAGGGAGGGAAGAAGGAAGAAAAAATGGGAGGGGGAAGAAGGAAGGAAAAATGGGAGGAGGGAGGAAGGAAGGAAAGAAAATGGGAGGGAGGGAGGGAAGAAGGAAGGAAGGAAAAAATGAGAGGGGGAGGGAGGGGAAGGAAGGAGTTGCTTTGATGCTTAAATAAAAACACAAACAAATCTTCTGAAATGGTTCTAAGTAACAAAACAAAACCCACCCAATTTCAAACAAAAGAACAGATTAAAACACGAGAAGAACTGCCGTAAAACACGGGCTACACACCAAGACTTATTTTTTAATGTCGTCGCATTTGAACTGGAACCGATCCAACAGAAGAGACGTCTCAAGGGGGAAGGAAAAAAAAATACAGATTCTCACCAACAATGACTTCTACGGCCACGGGAAAATCATCATCGTATCCCAGCTCCTCTTCCTCTTTCACGCTCTCCTTCCTCTTCAGCACCATGGGATAAAAATACTGCCATTCTTCAATTAGCTTCCTGGTCGCTGGGTCGGACATCTTGTACGCTTGGCCTGTTAAAGTACCACTTAAGCCGTACGGACTGATCAACACTGGTTGGGGAAAAAACACACACAAAACCAAACAGAGTGGTCAACGTCTAGATTCCTCAAGAGATCCCCCAAATCACTCAAATCTTCTTTTGTGGGAAGCCACGAGGCACAAGGGCATTTTTACTCAGAAGTGAGTCCCGTTACATCCTCTTTGCCAGAAGCAGGCACCTGATAATTAAAGAGGATTTTCTTCTTCTTTTTTTAATGGAACGGAAGCACGCTTCTCTTTGCAGAAGAATACCTGATGTGACCTATTTATAGAACCTACGATTAAAAAAAAAAATTAGCATCATCGTTTTAATTCTTTCCCCCTCCAGGGGCAGATATTTTCCAAACATGCACCTTTCTTAAAAATTGGTTACGCGGTTGTTAAGTGACTTCCCCGTTGACTTTGCTTGCCAGAAGTTTGCAAAAGGGGATCACATGATCCCAGGACACGGCAACCGTCATAAATACAAGCGTTGCCAAGCGTCTGGATTTTGGTCCCCTGAATTTTGGGCATGCTGCAAAGGTCTTAAGGGAGAAAAACGATCATAGGTCACTTTTTCCGTTGTTAACTTCAAACAGTCACTAAGTGAACTGTTGTTAAGCCGAGGACTACCCTGTGCTGAGAAAAGATGGGTGTGGTTTTAAAAGGTGAGACACGGCACTCTCGGCAAGCTAAAGTCCCAAGAAGATACTCTGACTGTGGGACATATTAATCTTGCAAGCATTTTTAAAATAGCAGTGTTCTAATATTTGAGGGGCTGCCCCAAAGAAGAGGGAGTCAAGCTATTCTCCAAAGCTCCAGGAGGCAGGAGAAGAAGCAAAGGATGGAAACTAACCAAGGAGTGAAGCAACTTAAAACTAAGGATGAATTTCCTGACAGTTAGAACAATAAACCAGGGGAACGACTTGCAACCACAAGTCGTGAATGCTCCAACCTTGGAAGTTTTTAGGAAGAGACTGGACAACCATTTATCCGGGATGGTTTAAGGCCTGCTGCATGAGCAGGGGGTTGGACTAGAAGACCTCCAAGGTTCCTTCCAATTCTGTTATTCTAGTCTAAAAAGAAAGAAAGCATGAAAACACACGCGGACTAATGCAATCCAGGTTTCCTAAACCAGGAATCCTCAATTCCCAGTCGGAAGTGAGAAACCAGTCTGCAAAGCCCCATCCGTGGGATGCAGGCAGGGTGTGGGATGCAAATATTTTTAATGCTCGTTCTGTGGGCGTGGCTGATCGTTGGAATAGCTGATCATTGGGAATAAAAAGAAAGAAAAGAAAAGAAAAAGAAATACCAGTTCAGCCTAACTGGTAACTGTTTTTTTTACTACCGGTTCATGTGAACTGGGCCGAACCGGTAGAATACCACCACTGGATGCAGACAGCAGGCAAAACCATGCCCTCTCTGCGGAAAAAAACCTCTCTCCATGGAACTGGTCCCTGGTGCCCAAAAAATTGGAGGCCACTGTCATCCCCCCCAAAAAAAATAATAATAATAACGATAATAATAAAAAAGCCAGACTGCTATTTTCCCAGGGGGGGAGGGAAAAAAAGCAATTGACAAAGTAGAACATAAAAAAAAAGAGAACCATAATAAAGGGAGGACAAACTAAGCCTCAGCATCGCCAGGGAGAGGCGGCAAAGCTGGTGTTAAGTCCATCAAATCCCCCATGCGCACTTTTTGGGTAGAACTTCCTATGCGAGGCTATTTTCTACCTGCCTTGAGGAGCCAGGTTTCAAATCCAGTTCCAATCCAGGAGGAATCATTTCTGGATTCCTCAGGAAACAGCTTTAGGCCCGAGACACTCATTGGGTTAAATCGACTGATTTAAGGGAAACAGGGAGTTCTTGACTTACAACCGTTCGTTTAGTGGCCATTTGAAATTACAACAGCCCCTGAAAAAAAGGGCTGTTTTTCACACTTACGACCACTGCAGGAGGAGGAGGAGGAGGAGGAGGAGGAGGAGGAGGAGGAGGAGGAGGAGGAGGAGGAATAATAATAATAATAATAATAACAACAACAACAACAACAACAACAACAACAACGACTGTGGGGCCCTTGATGCTCTCTGAATTTGGTTGCTTTCTTGCAGACATTTCATTACCCATTAGGTAACATCATCAGTGCTGGACGAGAGTTGGGTTTGGGGGAGGAGGAGGAGGACTGTGGGGTTCTTTGGTGCTCTCTGAGCTTGGCTCTTTTCTTGCAGACATTTCATTACCCATTTAGGTAACATTATCAGCGCTGGTCATTTCCACTGATGAGGTTACCTAATTGGATAACGAAACACTAACCAATATTCTCCTTTGCAGGTTTAAATGTGGGGTCTCCTCTGCTTCTCTTAAAAGGCTGCAGCCAAAAAAGTCCCTTTTTGTCCATATATCTAAAAAGGCAGCGATTGTGACAAAGAGGACCCGAACATCTTCGGAGTGGCCGAGAATGGGCTGCCTTGTGCATCTTGGGCCGTTTTTGAGATAAACTATTCAATGGAGGGTGGAAGTTATCCCTGGGGAAAACAGAAGGAGAGGCGTTCAGAGTTAACCCAACTCCGTTGGCATCCCAACCAAGGCTACTGGCAAGGGAGAGAAGAAGAAGAAGAAGAAAAAAAACCAGCAACTCTGAAGATTGAATAAAGGTTTTGTTCGAGGTTACATCCCGCTGAGAAGCCTACGCCACATGAAGCGCACGCGGCTTACCTTGAAAAGGCATAGGGGAAGACTGGGCCATGTGCAGGTGCTCCTCGCTGATAAGGTAGATCGGCTGGTGCTGTGCGATCTCCACACTTGTACACACGTTGCTTTCTCCGTGGAGGAAGAATGTGAAGGCGCAGGACAAATGCTCACTGCAGGAAGAGAGAGAGAGAGAGGAAATAAGCAGCCCATTTAATCCTAAATTCAGCGCATCAGGAGTCCTCCAAATTCTATGGGCCTCACTCGAACAGAATTCACGAGATGTAGTGCTCAGGAAATGGGATAAGCCTGTTCTCATAGAACATAGAATCATAAATACAATTTGGGACGGACACCATTGGAATGGGTGTGGGAGTAGGAATGGATTTCCAGAAGGAAAAAAAATTGTAGACTATAGGAACCAAGAACACGGGTGACCCTGGGGACACAGATAAACCTGCAAGGGCTTCAACAAAGGATGCAAATGACCAGCCGTCTGCAAGGAATACAAATCCTTCCATTCTCCACCATCCGGTCAGAAGCTTCTTGGATGAGAAGCAAAATGTCTTCAAAGAAAAAAGCAAGAAAGTCCTGAAAAAGAACCTTTGGGAAACTATGACCTGGATGGCTGAGAACCTCTACAGTCTTATACTGGTAGAATAAGAGTTGGAAGGGACCTTGGAGGTCTTCTAGTCCAACCCCCTGCTCAAGCAGGAGACCCCCTAGCAAGGGTCTTCAAGCTTGGCAACTTTTAAGACTTGTGGACGTCAATTCCCAGAATTCCTGAGCTAACATGACTGGAGGAGGAATTCTGGGAGTTGAAGTCCACAAATCTTAAAAGCTGTCGAGTTTGAAGACCCCTGATCTATCACCTTATCTATAATCTCTCTCTCTCTCTCTGTGTACCTACCTACCGATCGATCGATCTATTGATCTATTTAGCATCCACCTATGAATATATCTATCATCTATCACAAGGGTCTTCAAACTTGGCAAGTTTAAGACTGGTGGACTTCAACTCCCAGAATTCCTGAGCTAACATGACCGGAGGAGGAATTCTGGGAGTTGAAGTCCGCAAGTCTTAAAGCTGTCAAATTTGAAGACCCTTGCCCTAGACCCACATGAATACAGATGAATGCTGGTAGGCAGAGGCACAGTTTTTCCCCACTTATTTTCTTCCCCAAAAACTAAGCCCGATTGCACAGTAGCGGAGCACGGGTATAGAGCTAGTCTGTACATAATGTTGAACCTTCCTGCCATTTTGAGCATGAAAATCCCTTTGCGTACCTAATGAAGTTTCCCACCTGCAGGACAAAGCACCCCTACAAATGGGAGATCAGAAAATATCAAGGAGCTTGAGGGGAGGGGTATTTGTTCCACACACACACACACCCCCAAACAGAACGAATTCCATGCATGGCCTATCATGGTGCAACAGATGTGTCCCGCCATGAACTATGTCTCGTTCACACTTAACGACCGTAGAATAAGAAATTCCAAACGTTGATTAGAGTGACAGCTGAACAGAGTGTCCTGGGGCACCCAGCTAAACAAGTGTCTGCAAATGCACAGCTTAAATGGCACATGTCCATGATGTGTTTACTGACACCATGGCAATCGGCTCCATGCGAAATGTGGGCTGTAATGAAAAGCAGCTGGAGAATTTACAAAATGCAGCAAAAAAAAAAACAAAAAAAAAACCGATTCACTTGTTTATCTGCTTGGATCGACGTGAATGAGAAAGAAGGAACGTGGGTACGGTGGAGACACACAGAAAGGCTCTGGATTTCTTTATTATTATTTTTCCCCAGGATCTCAAAACATGAAACTAAAAAGCACGACAGGGAAGGTGATTTATGGAGTCATTTGGGAGTGGGTAACATGGAGGTTTCATAACTGGATAGGATAACGTGCACAGACAATCTAAAAAAAAAATGTAGCAAGCACACACATGGAGAACAGAATACACAAAGCAACACCCAACATTTCTGGAATTTTCGTCCTTTTTTTTTAAAAAAAAAGGCCCCAACCAAAATCTTCATCAGAAATGGCATCTCTTCCATCTCTTCGGGTTTCTGCATTCTTCCAATTCCGTTACGGTGTGTTTTTCTCCACGTCCCCTTTTTATACGGTTATTATTAAATAACGGTTTTCTGCTTAATTATATTTTAACAGCTGTTGTAAGCCACCTGGTGACTCTCTAGGTTGAAAGATAAGTTAATTATTTTAAATAGATGTATGACAGACATCCACTGGGAATGTTTGCCGGGTTCCAAACTGCATTCACGCACCACCCAGGAAGATAATATATTTATTATTGTTGTTGGTCCTACAGTCAGCCAGATGTTTAGACCTGGATTGGGCATTTTTAGACACCTACAGAGTCCTTCCCAAGGACCAGGGATAGGCAGAGGTTGTTGTTTGGTGGGGTTAAAGAAATCGTCACCGGCTACTGCTTGTAAGCACCATGTGCTTAGAGCTCAAAGCATTGTTAGAGACCCCACCCATCCACCCACCCACCCACCCCATGGTCTGTTTCTATTGCTCCACTTTGGGAGGAGGTTTTGAAGTATCTAAGGCAGGACAACTAGATTTTGGAACAGCTTTGTTCCTTAGGCCATCAGTCTTGTAAACTCGCAGGATTTCTCCCCCCCCCCCCCGCCCCCAACATGTATACATTTGAATTAGACTGTGTTGTTTCTCTGTCTCATATGTGTGTGGGTGGGTGTGTATGCATAGCGGTTATCTTTTGAGAGCCGAATGCAACGAAATTTCATTTTAATGTATGCTGATTAGTATACATTTAAAGTGACAATAAAGTTTCTATGCTATTCTATATTCTATATTCCATTCTATTCTCCTTCCTTCTTCCCTCCTCCTCCTCATTCCATTCCATTCTATATTCTATTCTCCTTCCTCCTCCTCCTCCTCCTCCTCCTCCTCGTCCTCCTCCTCCTCCTCCTCCTCCTCATTCCATTCCATTCCATTCACTGTTCCAAGTAAAGCTGCGTTTTGCAATTGACCGATGGGGATTTTGTCAATGCCGGTAGTGTGTTCAAGAGATGCTCCAGATTATTATTATTATTATTTGGTGACTATGCTGGACTGAATAATTATTGAACATAAGACTCATTATTGAGAACGTAAGATGCATTGCAGTATAGAAAATGCATGCTTTATACAAAGCAAATTTAGATCCACCAAGGGAGCTTTTTTTTAAAAAATTAAGTTCAGAGGATTTCAATATGGGCTGCTCCACAAGCACAGCACCTTTTAATAAATCATTTGTGTGCACGCAATAACAGCTTCCCTGGCCTACCTCCGGGGGCTCACTTTCACTTGCCCACAGTCGGGTAAATGTATATAGGTAATCCTCAACTTACAACCATTTGTTGAATGAACCTTCAAAGTTTAACAGAATGACAGAGTTGGAAGGGACCTTGGAGGTCTTCTAGTCCAACCCCCTGCTCAGGCATTTGTTTATGAGCATTTATATACCACATGCTAACTAAGTTGTTTTTATAAAATTCATATAGATATATTTCCATGCCATTTTTAGCCATTTTTCTTGTAGGGTTATATTATTATTCTGTATTCTGCATATTCCTGTAACTACTCCACTGTTCTTGCTGCAGTGGGAAGAGAATCAGGCTCAAGGAATGCATGCAAGCCCCCCCACCCCTCTTAAATTTGCAGACTTAACTATACCAAAAACACATTGTCCTTTTGTATTGGCAAAACCCTCCTGTGGCCCAACACAGTCATTGCAATTCCAGAAAAGCACTTGCGTGTGTGCTTCCTAACCGGTATGGCTTTGCGCGCGTATATACGTAGTGAAAAAGCAGAAATGTAACTTCTAGCCCCCGGGCCTGAATGCAGTTTTCCAAATGATCCCCTTTCAAAGCTTCCAATTAATTGAAAATGTTAATGTGGGGGAAAGAAAACAAGATTAAAAACATTAGGAGTATTTAAATTAAATCAGATTTTTTTTTTTGGCCTGATTTTTTTTTAAAAAAAGTACGGTTCCCACATTCAAAGTGTAAGTGCTACGAAGTGCCAAAATGGCTGCATATTCTTGGCATTAAGGAATAAAAGGATAGTAAAGCTGTTGAAACCATGCAAATAGAAAGGGAAGGTGGCAAAAGGGGATCATATGACCCCGGGACATTAAAAGCGTCATAAATACGAGTCAGTTGCCAAGCGTCAGATCACATGACCATGGAGATGTCGAGATGGTCATTAAGTGTGAAAAAATGGTCGTAAGTCACTTTTTTTCCATGCCACTGTAACTTCACCAAATGGTCAACAAATGAACTGTTGTAAATTGAGAACTACCTGTATGATGGGGCTCTAAATCTATCTATATAAAAGCGAAATACCACTCACGCATCATCACAAAACCTCCAGAACCATCAAGCCTACAAACTTGAAATCTGGCACCTAGGTTCCTCTTGGCTTCTAGGTGCTCACTAAGGAAGGATTTTTTCGAAAAGATCATCAGAGTGTTAGTATTTCCTATATTATTATTATTATTAACACGCTCTGATGCTAAGGAGTTCTACTCCCCCTCCCCACCTGAAATGCGAAACACAAGCCTAGGAGAGGAGTTTCAGTTTCAGTTTTAGTTTCACAGCAGCAAGCAGCTTTAGTACAGTACAGTTGAGCTAAGCCACGCCCAGGCTCCTTGCTGTCTCCTTCTTGCTTACACAGCAAATACTGTTTCAGTTTCCAAACAGCCCTCAACTCTCTCACACACTGACCAGAATGCTAGCCAGATGAATACCGATGGATGCTGGTAGGCAGAGGCAGAATTTTTCTTCCCTTATTTTCCTCCCCCAAAACTAAGCCCGACCACATAGTTTTGTAGCGAAGCACAGGGATAGAGCTAGTGAAACATGAAGGAATTCCCTATGCACCTTTTTATTTTGTTTCTCGGTTTCAAAAATGTAATCGCACCCCATCGTGGGTGTACTTTTCAACATGATATTAAAATATACACAGTGCAGCTTGTGAAAGAGGGTGCAAATCCATATTGTTGAGAATAACACCGTTTGTATTTGTAAAAATAAAATAAAAATTCTATTTAATTATGCTACCTTAACCTTGGTGGCTCAGTGGTTAGAATGTGGTATTGCAGGCTAATTCTGCTGACTGCTAGCAGTTTGATCCTGACTGGCTCAAGTTTGATTCAGCCTTCCATCCTTCCGAGGTCGGTAAAACGAGGACCCAGATTGTTGGGGGCCAATAGGCTGATTCTGTATATCGCTTAGAGAGGATTGTAAAAAATGAAGCAGTATACAAGTCTAAGTGCTATTATAAATATGGAGAAGAGGCAATAATCAAGTACGAGGTGATTTCAGTGTTATAAGGCGAGCCACATTTGGACTGAAGGGACAATAAAAGGCCCATTTTAAAAAGCTTTTTTGTTTTAAACCTCAGCTTCAGCAAAAAAAAATAATAATAATTTCAGCATCCTCTATCATATTCACATTCATGCCTGTCCTAGAATAGAATAGAATAGAATAGAATAGAATAGAATAGAATAGAATAGAATAGAATACCTTTATTGTCATTGCATTCTACAAATGCAATGAAATTTGAAAGCTACTCCAGCACAGTGACCCAAACACCACATCACAATCACACTACAGAGTATTTAAAAATTAAAATAATAATAATTAAAAACCTAGTCTAAAACCTATCTAAAACATATAAGTAAGTTAGATAGTTTAAAAATGCCACTATAAGCATAGGGCTAAATCACATATGCATTGTTTGACTCAAGACAATTATTGCCTTGGAAAAGAAACTTTCTCAGTCTATTAGTCCTCATTTTAAGACACCTATAACGCCTCTCTGGTGGTAACAGTTCAAAATATGAATGTCCAGGATGAGAATGGTCTGTGGAGATTTTTAGTGCTCTAGAGAGGAGTCTGGTCTTCGCAATCTTTTCCAAAGGTGTGTGTTTACAAAATAAAAAGTTCATAATTTAACAATAGTTATGTGAATGCTCTTATTCAAGCAATATGAAATGAAAGCAATAGTGCAGATACCTTGGAAAGGTAAAATTGCCCCCTCCCTCAATGCTTTTCTCTCCCCCCCCCCCCCCCCCCAAATGATATAGAGCAGCCTGGGAAACTAGACGGAAACGCAGATAAAGCCACGGCATGTTCTTGATTTCCATGTAAAATGTTTCTATTTGGAGGATTAAATAGCTCTTAATTTTGAATAATCAGCCAAGTATGCCAACGCAGCCCCTTCGTGTAGACGCCTGAATGCCCCAATATCCCACGAGGTTTTGGCTTTGATCAACATAAAGAGATATACATGAAGGGCTTTCTGAAAATAATTAACTTAATCAGATGTCATTGAAATTCATCTTCTGCTTAATAGAATCTAAAATGGTGACCAATTGCTCATCCTCCAGAGCGAACAAGAATTCCAGTTGGGTAGCTATCGACGTGGCGGGCCAAATTAACGAGTTTTTCCAACGTAGAGCTTCCATCTCTAGCCAAAGGTTACAAGCCACTTGAAAAAGCACTTCCTATGCTCTCGTTTTCTTTTCTTTCTTTTTTGGCACCGGGTTATGTCAATCACTCGGTGCCTTCGTCACGACTGTGTACAATACGAAACCGATCGGCTACCAACTATGGTTTATAGAGCATTAAGAGAGTTAGGAGGCTTGACAATAAAAAGTTAATAGATTGATATAGAACACAATATAAAATATATAACCATTGGATGAATGTATAAGATTAAATTACAATGAAATTTAGAATACCTCGCATAGAATGATGGAAAAATAGTTTAGTCGAATGAAGGATTAATGATTGATAATACATAAGCACATGTTATAGATTGACAAGGTGAGAATTTATACAACTTGTGAGTAATGGCAAAAAAAAAGGATAGCACAAAAGATTGTAACCAACTGACACACTAGATGTATGTAATTGAAAGATGGTCTTATGTTTTTATGTCTTGTTTGTATGTTTGTTGTAAAAAATAAAAACTTTATAAAAAAAAACAACAGAGTTAGGAGGAACCTTAGCAGAAGGGACCTTGGAGACCTCCTAGTCCAATGGTCCCCAACCTTTCCAGCTTGATGACCCAGCGGTGTGTGTGTGTGTGTGTGTGTGTGTGTGTGTGTGTGTGAGAGAGAGAGAGAGAGAGAGAGAGAGAGAGAGAGAGTGACATGAGCCCGCTTCTTCACATGAGGGTGGGAGATTCATGTGCATGTGCTAGCCCATTACTCCCGCAGCCCCATTTCAAACAGGCCACGGCCGGGCTGCTGGGGGTTCGCAAGAGCCCTTAGCTAAGATTCTGTGCATTACGGAGAACCGCCAAATCCCGCTCCAGGCTAGCCCCGCCCATCCCTCCCCTCCCCTCTCCGGAACCCCCACGTGGCCTGTTTTGCATGCAGGTAAGTGCAGGGGGTGCATGGAGTCTCAGGGAGGGCGAAAAACGGGCCTCCCGGAAGTTCAGGAAGGGCAGAAATGGGCTCGTTTCCAGCTTCCAAAGAGCCTCCGGAGCCTGAGGAAGGCAAAAAACGAAGCTGGGGGGGGGACAAAATGGAGATTTTGCAGTATCCTTCCCCTGCCACGCCCACCAAGACACTAAGCCACACCCACAGAACACCACGCCCATCAAGTCACGGCCACCGCTAGCCGGCTGGGTCTCCTTTGGTTGCCTTGCCCAGGAGAACGAAGCTGGAACGTAGGTTAGTGGGGTGGGGAGGGAATGGGGATTTTGCAGTATATCCTTCCCCTGCCACGCCCACCAAGCCACGCCCATCAAGTCATGCCACACCCACCAATCGGTAGTAAAAAAAAAAAAACTGAATCCCACCACTGCAAGCACCCAATATTAGCCTTGAACGTTTAGGATTCATTAGGGGCCCTGCAATTGTAGTAACCCATTTAATAGCAAATTCCTGCTTTTTTCACACCATAAAACAACACTGGCTTTTTTTTTTAAAAGAACTCAGAGTTCCTCGGCCCCGTTTGCCAATTTCCCCACTTGCACTTTAAAATTCAATCTCATGTGAACAACAAATGTTTCTTTGTGTGGGATTTCATCATAACTGCGTTTCTTTCCATGACTTGTAGCGTCAACGCCTAGAGGCACGCCACCCTTTGACTTGTCTAATCGTGTTTCGTTTATTAGCTTAAGCCATATGCTTGTACCATTGCAAAGAGTGCAAACATTTTAGAAACGTTGCTTTAAGTTTTGGTTTGGAAAGGCTCTCCGTGAAGAAGAAGAAGAAGAAGAACACACAACTGTTTCATTTCAGGAAAGCTATAGGACTACAAGTCATGTGATGCTCCAGATCCGGTTCTAACCCCCCCCCCCAAAAAAGTGCCTTTTGATGCACAAGGGTGTGGTGTGTGTGTGTGTGTGTGTGTGTGTGTGTAAAACACAATACCTCTTGCAATTTTCTGAGCGTGAATGGAAGCGTTAGAGACTCTCCATGCAGCCCAATTTTGTTAAAGGAAAAAAAAAAGAATAAAGCGAATTCAATGTTATCCAGATAAGCGATAGGTCTGGGGTTGCATTTCCCTCCACCAGCAAACACTGATATAAACTGCTTCTGACCACAGAATGACCCATTTAAAATCTATCCGACCCAAAAAAGGATACTGCTCTATAAGATTTATTAATTAGCCCATTTGTTTCAGTAACATCCAGAGCACTTGCGATAAAATCCCGTGTTATCCTAACACTCCTTTGCATTATGAAAAGTGTTTAGATAACGTTATAAAAAGCATTATCTTGACACTGGGTACACCCGTTGGTGCCAAAACTAACGTGCTTGAAATAATCTGTTTTGTCTCTTGATATTCTCTTCTGGCTGATCTTATATCTCTAACTCTTACTATTTCCGTTGAGCGAGCAAAAAAAGAAAAAAGAAACAAGGAAAAAAAGATCAGCGAGCAATCTGTGTTGCAGAGAGAGCTCTGTTGTCAAACATGGAGGCAATTTTGAGACTAAGTGGGGAACTAACAAGCTTGTTACATGCGGTTGGGCCACTGTGTGAATTGGTTCACAAAAGTCAAGTGAAGTGTTAACACCAAAGCCTCAGTGGTTAGAATGCAATATTGCAGGCTAACTCGCCGACTGCCAACAGTTCGATCCTGACCAGCTCAAAGTTGACTCAGCCTTCCATCCTTCCAAGGTCCCAGATTGTTGGGGGCCATATGCTGACTCTGTAAACCACTTAGAGAGGGCTGTAAAGCATTATGAAGCAGCATATCAGTCTAAGTGTTATTGCTATTTTCCTTACACTCTACAATAGCTCAATCCACCATAAACATGGCTACCACTGCTGATGGACAGATTACTTAGCAGTTCAAAATTTCAACATAATGTGCCTCTTTTTTCAATTCAGATTTCCTTGTGATCTTTAGACCGCTCCAGATTTTTAAACTGTATTACTACTTTCTCTTTTTAATGTCAAAAGCCAGGGGAAAAGTAGTTTATACTCTGCTAACAAGTTTCTTTTTGTAACAGGTCAGGACAGTTAATTTAACTGAATGGCATTCAAATAAACAACCAGTTAAAATGCATCATTTCTCCATTCCCTGCAGGCCTTTGGCAGCAGAAAGGCATTAAAAGGGTTATGTTGATGGGGAAAATTTTTTAAGGCTCCTTACTATATAATGCCGGCTTCCCAGAATTTGCAATTGTTTCCCCACCCTAGTTACTTAATAATCACAGCTTTCTATACTTAATAACTCATTCCAAACATTTAAGAATGCGTAAATCACTTTCCCTGCTATCATATTTCCAGTTGCATTTCATCACTTTTTAAATTAAGTTTTGTTAAAAGAATTTTTACAGCATTAAAACATTTAAATGGAAAAGGAAAGTCAAAGAAAAGTTATAAGAAAAGAATGAAGAAACAAAGAAGAAAAATAGACAAAAGGAAGACAAAATATAAGGAAATCACTTCCAATTTTCTTTACAACAGTTGTAAATGCAAATTTTATCCTCTCTAAGGCTCCATCATAACTTCCTTCTTTTTTTTTTTCATTTTCAGCAAAAAGTCCATAAAGGGTTTCCAGTCCTTTTAATAAATGCAGTTATTGTCTTTTCTATAATTAAACAGGTCACATTTGCCATCTCTGCAAATTCTGTCATCTTCACCAACCATTCCTCCATTTCCCTTCCCCTTGGCTGACCCTTCAACTCTATGGAGACAATAATTATTTGCAATTTATAAAAATAATAATTGAAAAATTGCACAGCCCCCGATAGCTCTGAAGGAACGGGAATAGAATTGTGGCCTATCATTATGTCCAAATACAGCAATCAACTAACAGTAAATCAATCAGTTCAGGAAATCATTTTTGAAGCAGCAAAACTATGAAATGACATATTTTAATGTCTGTTTGCAAAACCCCGCTTATGATGGTTATTGCTCAGTTGGACATTTTAACTGTCACAGGGGGAGAGATACCTATGAAAGACTTTTTAAGATCTTTAAAATTGGATCACATTCATACTCAGCATAATCTGGAATTACGTGGGGGAAGATATACTGACTCCCAATTTTTGAGTTTACATTCAACTGAGACAAACTGGTTCAAAACTAGTTGAATTGCTTGGAATCCAGCCCCGTTTTATTTTTCAAACTCAGATAGAACCGCCTTGTAGCAAAATGGGCAGCAAATTAAAATAAGATAAAACAAAAATCCTCTATGAAATAAATTTGATAATTCTGCAGTGCAAGAAACGGTACCATGAATTTCATTCAGCATATAACAAAACCAACGCATTCAAACAGGAAAACAGAAGCGGGGAAATAAAGTTGGTGGTATTCCATAGGTGCTCTAGAAATTAAGCTGTTGTCACCAAAGCAATCACCAAGGTAACTACTTCATTTTTCTAGTCATCCATCAATAGGTACATTAATCTTTCCAGTTAACAGTGATTTCCCAAAGTGTCATTTTAGCATCTTTTTTAAAAAGACAGCTAATATATTTTCAAGTTCTGAACAGAAGTGCGTGTCAATTGATTATTATTTTTTTTAATACCAGGATTAAAGAGGATCCTTAAGGGTCAACCGTATATTTAAGAGACCGGGATGATCTCATATCAGACATACAGACTGATATATGAAATATAAACAAATAAATTGGACAGCCATTTGCCTCTTCCAAATCTATATTTCTATGTTTGAAGAAGACATTTCCTAACAACGAGAAAAAGAGAACAGGTTGCCTTCAGAAGCTGTGGGTGCTCCATCACTGGGGCTCTTTAAGAAGACATTGGACAGCCATTTGTCTTGAATAGTATAGGGCCTCCTGCTTGCGCAAGGGGTTGGACTAGAAGACCTCCAAAGGGCCCTTCCAACTCTGCTATTCTGTTATTCAATTGAGGTAAAGGTTCCCCTCGCACATAATACGTGCTAGTGGTTTCTAGCTCTAGGGGGCAGTCATCTCCGTTACAAAGCCGAAGTACCAGCGCTGTCCGAAGACGTCTCCGTGGTCATGTACCCAAGCAGGACTAAACGCCGAAGGTGCACGGAACGTTGTTACCTTCCAAAGTCTTCATCTATGCATTCATCTTATTGCAGACTATAGATTACAGTTGTAATATACTAATCTTGCCACAATGTGGTGGCAAGGAAGAAACGGCTCTTTCCTTGCAGAGAAATATTTGGAAAGGAGAAGGTTAACCTAATAACTGCTTGTAATGGATCCAGCCAAAGCTCTATCAGCTGAGTACTTCTGTCTCCAGCAGGGAGAAATAGTTTTTCCACATGTTCCACAGGAAAAAGAAATGCTATAATATATTGCTATTCCACCATGGAGAAAGCACGCATCTGAACTGAAACCAAGCCATGGAGT